GCTCTCTCCCTTTCTCTTCCGTGCGCGCGCTACACGGTTTGGAGCACAGTATGTTCTCTCTCGCATGCGCGTTAGATTCCGGGAGATTTGAACTAATTTTAGGGAGCCGCTATCAATAGAGACTTGGGATGTCTGCGTACCATATAACTCCCACAAGTGCATACAATTCGACACAACTACACAAGCATTTTTTAACCTTTTTAACCGAACGTTAACATTACTCTGTCAACAGCCTATTGTCTAAATTACCGAGCTAACAGAGCTACGTAAACAGAGCGAACATGAGAGCATCCGACTGCAGACGTCAATAATGCAGCGTAATGGAATAATCTCCTGTTTAAACTCCGCTTCCCGAAAGTTATAAACTGCCTCCGGAACCCAGTTAAGGTACAAAAATCTATTCAACAAAAATAGTGATGCAGTTAAGTGTTTTTTCGCTCAGCCGAGCCCTCTCTGTTGCTGTGTGCAGCAGCCTGTGTCAGTCACCTCTTCCTGAACGTCACTCACTCACTCACTCATCTGTGCATGGACTGCGGTCTCGTGAGGAAACGCAGCTTTTTGATATAAAGTTTTTCTTGTTCCCGAATACAAATATTTTTTCAAGTTTTGTTCGAAATAACTATTCGTAAAAAACACGTTATTTGTACCTTTCCGAATACCGTATTCGGGTTCGGCTCCACCCCTATTATGTAATGCACTCAAAGGTATGAAACGAATGGAAGACCTGTATTTGTAGTACCCTACTAGTTTTTTTTTTTTTTTTTGCTGTTGTTTTTTTTTTTTTTTTTTTTTTTCTGATCATTGTGAATTTAAGAAATGCAAATAATAATAATAATAATAAAAAAAGTAAAAAAAAAAAAAAAAAAAAATACAATAAGGCATTTCTATAAAAGACACTTATACCAAAAAAACAAAAAAAAAAACAACGTAAATATACATTTCATATTTGTTTTATATAATATAATGTTCTTTTTTTTTATTTCATCTATGTTGATTATATGAAAAAGGAACCGCATGAGATGGGTAAGATAGGATCATAAGATGCCCAATATATCAGGAGACATTTGGAGTGGGTCAGACATGATTTTGACCACTTAAGTTTTGTTTTGTAGAAAGCCATTTTTTAAAGTGAATTTCGTTTTGTAAAAATTGTCTTAATTTCAATCAATGTTTCATCAACCAATTGGCTGGATTTAATAAATAAGAAGCGAAATATAGCAGACAATATAGGATACGGAGGCGCCCGAGCGTGAACTGGAGCGCGTCTCATAAATGAACCGAAACTCAGCGTATAAATGACTTGCCTCACAGACCTGAGAAGCTTGAAATGCTTTAAAAAAAAAAACATTCAAATCGATAAGAAATGGGGTAGCCTACTCTCTGCTTATGTAGTCTATCCGTATGAAGTGTGCATTTCTCTCTATAGGCGCGTTCACTACATGCGAAGATGGCGTCAACATCGCCAACTGTATCTTTGCAGCCAGAAAACACTAGTTTATTAATAAACAATTCAAATGTACCATACTGCTTAAACATTACTTTTGCCGGTTCTTTGTGGCAAGCTTTATGCATGTGCTTGATATGCGGAATATAGGCAATATTACGATAACGCTCATTATGGTTTAGTATTTTCTCCCATAAATATTTAATTAAATTAATATAAATATGCAATTAGACTAATGGCTTAAATGAACTACTACTAGTCAACTAGAAAAAAACTTTAGTTGTGCACGGGCAGCCCAATTTATTTCACATATTTCCTAACCAGCGCGTCACTGCGGGCGTTCTGAGCGAGCGGCGCTGTGTGGACTGAGCGAGCGAAGCTACTCTTCAGAAAGCTGATCTCTCTGGAGGACAATGCTCCTCCACATGAGATTCCTTTGAAACATACATGGCAACTAGCTGTTTCTCGACACATCATAGCAATTCCACACCGGCGATGACATGACTGCCAAATCATTTAAGTCCCCACGCATCATGTACCTTCTCACGTTTTGATGTAGTAGGCCTAATCGAATTGTGATCGGTTTGTGAGATCGGCCAAGTTTAGTGAGTACCGATCGAGTCATAAAATGTGAATATCGGCCGATACCGATCTCTGGCCGATCGATCGGAGCATCCCTAGAATCAAGCTTTTTTTTTTCAAGTCTCCTAAAAAGATCTGATCGCTTTATAAGATGAACAGATTTAATTTAGGCTTCTTTATAAATAAAACATTGATCTAAACAAATTCATAGGGTGCATCAGATATGGTAAACGGAAGCTCAAATGTGCTTGCTTGACGAGCAAGAACAAACCTCTTGTTTTTTGTGCATCAAACAAACATGTTTGATCTTTTGTTTACTATATTTGATGTGCTCTTTGTATGTGTGGTGATTAAAGTCCCCCTGTAGTCAATTTTATCCCTTAAAATTCATCTTTGATAACCAAAATGACCTATTTAAATATTTGTAGGTGATTTTTACAGTGAAAAAAAATCTTCATTATAGCTTGAATGTAACACTACACCCTTGCTTCATTTAGTATACGCGGATCGCTGAATATGCAAACGAGCCCCACCTCCACTCACTCACACCAGCTCAGAATAGCTTATCCACTCTGTCAACTTTACTGTAGTAAACACTGCACAATGCCAAGTGGAAATAGTGGTTTAATTCAGCCATATATGTTAGAACCAAAAAACTGATTCAGAAGAAGAAGTGGAAAAGTGAATAATACAGGTTCGTCTACAAGTCGATGTATCAGAATGGTAATGCGTTTTATGTATTGCTATCTACATGTCGAGATTAATTATTGATGTTTATATATTCTACCGGGTGTTCAAAATATGTAGTTGTGTGTTTTATATTGTGATCTCCGGCTAACCGGCTGAAGGGGGTGGATTGAAATCCACTGCTGCTTAAATGAAATGAGTGATTATAATCAAGGTATTAGTCATTATTTTTCCTTCTAAATATCAAATTTAGAAGGAGTTGAATGACTTCTCTGGAGATTTTACTTTGTTATAGAAGTTACCAGTGTGATTACTGAAATGTTCTTTTCATGTATTCTTTAATGTCTGTATTTGATATCTGAATGCAGTAACAGTGCTTGCTCATTTAGCCCGGCTACCAGAAATGAAACAGGGACTTGTTTTGTGTTTGAGAAAGGTCTTCAAAGTGTTAAAACATATAGGGGTCATCGAAGCCAATAGTTTAAGGGACAATTTCTTTGTTAAAGCATTATCCTTGAGAGAAAGAACGCATTATCTTGATGTTTTGAGAGGACTCTCCTGTTTATAGTTAGAGCCTGGCCAAATCCAACCTTTGAAAAGCTGTGTGTCGGTGTGTGTGTTAGTCTTCTTGGTTACAGGTTAAGGAACCACTGGCATTATTGGAGATTAATTGAGTTTTTGTTCTGGACATGTTGGCGCCCAGCAACCCAAATCTGCGACCTGGAAGGTCATGACGTGCCTAAACTTCAGAGTCTGAGTGTCAGCTGCTTAAGCGATTGAGATTTGCTTCCGTTTATCTGTATATGTGTGGAAAATGACTACCGTATGTTATCTATTTCTTAGCCAATCAGAAACTGCAACCTGAAGCAAGGACGTTGTTTAGACCTTGGTGAATGGTATAATTGTTGTGATCTTTGTAACTTGAAGCTGACTTCTGCTGATGAAACTGGAAACTATCTTCAGTAAATATTTTCTTTAATTTATTATAATTCTGACTCCGGGTCTTCATTCATCATATCTGGTTCTGGGTCTATGACTGTAAAACCCCTTACATGGCTAACTCACATTATTACTGTCTTACTGAAATACTTCTGCTAATCAGCTGTGCGCCACTATTACCTAAAACTGTGTCTATTAATGCAGATTGTCTGTCGCTCTACTTTGAGTAAAGATAAAGGGTGGGACAAGACTTGTTTTGCAAACTTTAATGTTAAATCAGTCATTCACGTTAGTGCTCGGCTAACATATGCACCGTTATTGATACAGTTAATAGTTCCCACATGTGCAACGCAATAAATTAGAAATACACACACACATGGGTTTGTTGATGGACATACACTTGTTAATTCTGATAGTGAGGAATTAACATCTGTACCTCAAACTGAGTAGCGTTTCACTGAGAAACGTCATGCTCAAGTCGTCTTTGCGATGAAGGATCGGGTTAAATAAGTTCTTCCAATGTTTCATCGTCGGAATCGCGCTTGGATTGATATGGTAAAATCGACGTCATTGTTACTGTCTTTACAGTGTGTACAACCGCTAAGGACTGAGGAAGCCTCCGGAACTGAAGTACAGTTATGGTAATGGCCGTTAGCTTACGACAGGCCCTGTAAGCGGTGGACCAATCACTACAGACTGGGCTGTCTGGGCAATCAGAGACGAGTAGCTCATGGAAAGGAGGGATTTTGAGAGACCGATTCATCCAACAAAACGTTTAAGAATCATGGAACAATGTGGTGATGTGCAATGTATATCATGAGAAAATGAAAGAGGTTTTTTACCTTTGATGCATGTAAAGTTGTAGTAAAATGCATGTAAATTTTCTCCAAAACAAAATTAGTAAACTTTAAAATAGCATATTTGGGGCACTTTAAGCATATTAAAAAACACCACATAGACATAAACAACATTTAAAACTTGATTTTCACCTCAGGGGGTCTTTGATGTTTATATGAGAATAAAAGCATAGAAAAATATGTTTATCTTATAAAGCAATTGTGTCTCTTCAGAGGACTTTTAAACTCAAACCACTCAATTCATATGGATTTCTTTTACAATTTTCTTATGATCTTTTTGAAGCATAAAAGTTTTGTTGACAGAATGGACTTTCAAATTAGGGACAGAAACCTCTCATGTTTAATTAAAAATATCTTCATTAGTGTTTTAAAAAAATTAACGAAAGTCTTATGGGCTTGGAACAAAATGGGGGTGAGTTATTGACGACAGAATTTTAATTTCTAGGTGAACCATCTCTTCAAATTAATAACATTTACAATGCGCATCAAACCTGACTCTCTCTGTCTCACTAGCTGTCTTCACCACAGTGAAGGGCTCCTTCCGACTCCAGTCCCACAGATGCAGCTCGTTGTTGCTGGCAATGAGCAACAGCTGAGCCGTGGGATGGAAAGCAAGGGATGCGATCGCCGAGTTACTCTCTGTGAGCCAGCTCTCACTACCTCCCTGAAACAAAATCACATGATACTTTAACATTTGAGCAAAATTAAGTTGTGGTGATAAATAAAAAAAATAAAAAATAAAGAGTTGACAAAACAATCGTTCAATATGGGTAAAGAAAAGACTCACATGCAGGTCCCAGATTCGGACTTCTCCATCCAGGCAGCCAGAAGCAATAAGGCCAGGTATGCTAGGGTGAAAGGTCAAGCACCAGGGCGTCCGGCGGTGGCCCACCAGAGAGTGAACACACCTTCCTGTCTTAACTTCTGTGATGTAGATGTTGTGGTTCACATGGGTGGAGGCCATTAAAGACCTATGAAGAGAAAAATAACAAAAGTTCCTCTCTAATTATTTTGCTGATGAAGGGTGGTCTAAGATCTGATCAATCAGTCAGTTTTTATGTCAGTAGGCTATTTATTTATCAGATCAGTACTACTGAGGACTATGAAGGAGTAGTCAGAGGGTTATTACCTATCTGGACTGAAGGCCAGAAGAAAGGTCGAGCGGGGGCTGTCTGGTAACTCCACTTTCTGTGACACCGAAAGAAATTCAAATGATAAGTGATTTCACTTTTTCACTTTAGTCACATCCAAACCACAATATTAAGGCCCATTCACACCAAAACAATAACTATTACAATAGCTATAACTATAAAGTTTTAATAATTATTTCTATGAGAATAGGTAAGTACGCACCACAACTATAATGATAACGACACAGAGGAATCCTATAAATGGAATCAGTTTTATAAAGATTTTTTTCAGCTGATGAAAGTTAAAAACAGACTGCCAATCAGAATCCACCGAATTTAAAGAACTTGATTTTTAACTTGAGCGTTTCCCAGATGACAGTCTACAGTCCACAGATGAAGTGTCAAAGATCTATGCATCAGTTACCTGGCTTTGCCATTTCATGCGCTGTGTCTTCTCCTCTACAAGCTGCTGTAGGATCCTGTGTGAGGCAAGACCTCGTGCTCCTCGCTCTCGACTAGACAGGATACACACTGAGTTCTTCTGTCCCACCTTCATCTCCACACACACGCTCACACCAGACCCAGAGCCGTCCACAGGCCCACACACACTGGACCACCACTGCTACTACCACGCCATCATTCTGGGGTAGAAAAAATTAGAAAGTTCAGGAATATCTTAGAGGATCACAACTTGATTTCAAATAGGCTAATATTAATTTAATGACAATGAGACACTTTCCTTTTATTTCATTTGAATAACTTAAACAAAAAAATATAAACTTTTATTGTACAGTAAAAAGACTGTAGAAGAATTATAACTCTGGGTAGAAAACGTTTATAATAGTTAACTAAAACTAAAAACATATTTTTTTAATTAAAATAAATATTAACTGTAATTTAAAAAAATAGGAAAATACATAAAAGGTAACATAAAATAACTAAAACTACATGAGCGTTACTGAACTACTAAAATGACAAAAACATGCCTTACTAAAATTAAAAACAAAACTGAAAATATATTAATACAAACTAATTCAAAATATAACTATAGTAGCATTAGGTAACATATAACATATTTCAGCAAACTGCGAAAGAAAGGCCAAAATAGATACGAACTAAACATGACAATAAAGCAGTAAAGAGATATCGTTAAAGAATAATCTTTATAAATCATTAAGGAATGGTAAACGCCATTTCCTGTAATTGTCTCTGTTATATGGGTAAAAGTACCACACAGTGCAACTGATAAAAAAAGACAATAATTATAAATATGTTACTTATCCAGGCATGCATTATGCATGAAACTAACGGGTTGAAAAACATGCGGATAAGCTTTGCAGGTTTTGTTGCACTCTAATATAACTTGAGCTATCATCCATCTGACAGGCTAACTTACATGTTTGCCTTTAGCTGTTATCTTCTGCTATTATTAAGGATAGATAGGGGATATACAAGGGCTGTAAACGGAGTGTCGCTTATTAAATTAACTTCATGGTCATAGAATTAAGGAACTAGTGAACATCATAACGTTAATTTACAATGTTTGTTTGTTTTTGAATGAGGAAATTAAGCTAACAGCTTTCACGTTTAGCAGTTGCTAGCAAGCTAGCTACAGTTTACAGGTGATGGATTAATTCTCAGTTACACAGTGTTTCAATTATGAGTGTTTTTTTATTTAAAATATATTTAAGACAACCACTCGGGGTCTCAGGTTTGGCCTACCTTTTCTTCATATTTGTGTCCGATTATACTCCTTGAAATCGTAGATATCAAATAAAACAAATACGTTGGAGACCGTAAGCAGCAGGGACGTTGCCTAAATCGTCCCCGCTAATTTTATTTTCGGATTTATATATATGTAGGGAGGAATATTCTTCTTTATTTCCGAAAATAGGGTCGCATGTACTTTAGATTTGTTGCTGTGTTCCTGCCAAAACGCGTACAGACAAAGCCAATGGAGCACAGATCATTCATAGTCAATTACCGACAACATCGTTCATGCTCAAACCTTAAATCACTTTGAACTGTCACTGGCCGTAAATCGGTAAAGATTAACCCATTTTCTAAATGGCAACTTGATATTTACTTTCTTAGTACACCTACGAGTATGAACATAATATTTAAAAAATATCTATATGCAAATACAAATATAGGACACTGAAAAATAATGGCCAACAAATGCTAGGCGTATTAATTCACAGCCCCTTTCATTATAAAGATAGCAGGTTGAGTGCGAAATCAATTAGTTCACACATTCAAATTCACCTTAATTGGGACTGGTCTTAAATGTCAGATTGATCAAGACCCACAGTAGCAGTTTACGCCGGTTATGTTTGCGATTTGGTCCCGCGAGAGTCCCTCTCTGTTCCAAGACTGCCAATCACCTTACGTGTTTTTAAAGCTGCACAGTGCGTTGGCCAATGGCAGCGCTCCTTTACCCGGAAAAGCTTGCAGTTCGTCTTGTGTTTGCCAGATCGTTCAATGAGGGTACTGTACTCTACCTCTGCTGCTGCTCGTTCGCAAGTATGGATTCCTGTTTTCTGATCGTCGTGTTTGTCTTCGCTTTAAGTTTTTCCAATGGAGAGAGAACACTCAAGTTTGTCACTGTGGTGAGTATAACCTAATGCATTTGTCCAGATTACTGCCAGAGTGTGTTGAGTGACGTTAAATGTAACGTTAGGCTGCAGCTGGTTTGATAAAGCTGTTCGTCTTAATCATAATAGCCTACGAGACACAAATTCTGACTTCCTATTATGTGTGGCATATTTTTATGCATAACAAATATGTGTTTTCTGTGTGAATATAAGATTGTCTTTTCCCCCACGTTGTTTATGAATGCTTTGCATTGATTAACGTTACTGTATATTGGTCGATACTGGTCTTTTCTGTCGTTATCAGTCTACTAGTTTGATACTTTATCCAGAAGCAACGACGTGAGTGAGTCGCAATATCTGCTGACATTAGTAGGCTAACCAATGTTTGCTATTAACTTTGTGTTTAGTTCTGCTTGTTCTCGACTGTCTGTCAGCTCAATCTATGGCTTCATCACATGATGAGACATGTTGTCTATTAATTTCATTTTGCCTTTTGATTCTGGTAATATTCTAATTTATGAGCAATTTATTAAGCGCCATTGCTTCCCAGTTCTCATGGCTTCTTAAAGCAATATAATCCCTTTATATAAGTTATCGACTTATATCTTAAAAATCCACCATGTTTAGAAGAAACAGCTTTTACAGATTTATTTTTTGATTGCAATATAAACAATAAATTCTGGGCTGATTGTAAAAGTGCCTTCATTTTTAGTCCTGCAGAAGTAAACCTCTCCTCTATTCTCAAAGATATTATTTTTTATTATGACAACTGTGATCATTTATCTCTTGATTATCTTGCTGACTTCATTATATTGGATACAACATTTCCATTCATAAACAAAATATTTATAGTCTTACACTATTTCTTTTTAAATTCAACTCTCTATTTTCATCCTTCAAAATTGTACACAATGATAAAAATACCAGATTTTTGATGCTTTGTGAGAATTTATTCAAAGATGCGGTTCAACTTTAATTCTGTGTTTTTCTTCTATTGTGTATACAAATCATTGTCCTTGTGTTGTTGTTGTTATTGTATCATATTTGAGATGATTGTTTTCCTTCTTCATGTCTGTTTCTGTACTCATATCCACGAAATAAGTGTTTTATGGTTATTAATTATGACTTTGGAGTCACTGCAAATGAGTAAGTTTTAACCAGAGGCTTGTGTCTTTTTAAGTGTGGTTTTGTAACACTGCTATGAAGCATTCTTAGAAAACCTCATTTCTGTTTGGAAAGCGATACAGGTAAATCCACTTATAGACTTTAAGTGTAAATGAGAGAAGATCACGGCTGATTTCTATGAAAGTCAGAGATAAAGATAAGGAGATAGACTGAATCTGCTTATCCAATTAGAATATGTTTATCGACTACTGTGTGGCTCGTATCCGGGTGTCAGTATAAGCACATGACAAGCAGGATTTGCTGATCTAACTGCAGTTGCACAGTGTTGTTTGTCTTCCTGAACACACACACACATAAATCCCCAATACTCAGTCAAGTGTTTGACTTCCTGTCTGTCAGCTCTATCGTCATGGCGACAGATCTCCAATCAAGGCCTATCCAACTGATCCCTACAAGGAGAGTGACTGGCCCCAGGGTTTTGGACAGCTCTCTCAGGTATGCAGACACGCACACACACACATACCTTATTGTCTTTGTTTTAATCAGTTACCTGCTACTTGAGGAGCATTTGGTTATGCAGTAACGTGCAAGAGGCTGTCCTATATTATGTATGTAGAGTGTAACAGTCAGGTTCCAAAAGTAAATAGTCCATTCATTTTCTCCATTCCCTCATAATCAATGGTATATGTTCTGTTAAAGCTGTCAGCCTGCATTATTTCAACTTATTTTTTTTAACAGCTGAGATTGTGGTGAGAAAAATACATTATCCATGATGATGTACATAAAATTCCACCACTCAGACAGTTGCAGTTACGATAAGCAAATCCTACCAAAAGAGCATGTAGGGAACGCCCACTCCGATGAAGCACTGTGAATGATGTAATTAAGTCGATTTCCCTACACAGAATGTACAGTGTTCAAGCACAGAGCAGCTCACCCACCTTTGCACATCAGTGGTGAGGCCGTAATAGCATTAACATGCAGCTTGAAAACCCTCGATGGACACATTTTCAATTTATTGTCACGTCATTTCAACATGCCAAAATACATTGACTGGGGTGACCCGCACCGTACATAATTAAAACCCTTTTTATAGAAAACTACAGTACAGTCTGTGTACATTTTTGTAATAGGCACCAAACTACTGAATGCACTTTAAGGATATTATTTCATCCTTTTGTATTTTTATTACTGTAACTCGATCTTTTCGATTTTTACAGGAGGGAATGAAGCAGCACTATGAACTAGGTCAGTTTTTAAAGAAACGCTACAGAGGATTCCTGAGTGAGGACTATGACCGGCATGAGGTCACTGTCTTTTAAATTTCTGTTTAAACATGTTCAGTAAACGGATACACAAAGCTGCCAGACCTAGCATATGCCATCTTTGCACTGCAGATATTCATCAGAAGTACAGATGTTGACCGGACTCTGATGAGTGCAGAAGCTAACCTGGCTGGCCTGTTCCCACCTAACGGTTCTGAGGTGTTTAATCCAGATTTGAAATGGCAGCCAATACCTGTTCACACTGTCCCAGCGAATGAAGAGAAGGTAAGACCTCACACTGAAGCTCTGTTCCCACTTTTTCTCTCCACAATATTACAGCACACTGAAACTTGGCCCCGACCTCTCTTTAGTGTTGAGTTCATATTTGCACTGCAGCAGCATCAGTAAATGTCTCTGGATGTTTGAAATCTATTTACATGGCCACATGACCTGCCAACAGAGTTTGCGTTTGTTTTTTTGTTGTCTTTCCAGCTGCTCTCATTCCCGCTAGAAGACTGTCCACGTTACACACAGCTCATGAACGAGACTGAAAAATCTGACATTTTTCTCAACATGACTGACACTTACAAGGTGAGTCCACCTTGCAAAAACCCATTTATAATAGCAGGTCATCTGTAATTTATAGTAAGGTTTTTACAGCAATTATGATATAGTGTTACACAAAAGGTATCCTGCCGTTTTCTGAATTGGTTTTAAATGGTGATTCCCAGAGGAGGTTCAGGTTTCAGACTCCGATGTTGAATGATAATAAATGACCGCATAAAGTTTATACACTACATGGTTGTGTACATAGTGTGTAAGTGTATACTGCTTCATTTGGGACACAATGTAAATATTTACTTTTTTAGTGTTGTCCCAATAAAAAAATTATGTCTATTCCATTTCAAATCTTGCTCCATATTTTTTTTCATGTTTGCTTGCGGGCCTTACAATGTTAGTATGTTCCTTGTGTTTCAATGTAAATGTGCAATAAATAAAACCAATGGTTTCTACAATCATGGTTATGTCATTGTGTTTTTATGCAGGCATTTATAGAAATGGTGAGAAATAAAACAGGACTGGAGACAGCCTCAATTGAGTCTATTTGGAGTGTTTATGACACGTTGTTCTGTGAGGTGAGTTTCACCTGGCATTCATCTGCACATTATTCATGACTTCATCTAGTATTAAGAGACTCTGCCAGCCAATCTTGCCCGCTAAGTATTGTCTATATGTGAATGAATGATATATTAAAGGCACACTGTGGAACTTTTCAACCTTTATAATATATTACAAAAACCCATTGAGATGGTACATCGACTTACAATAGGTTGAATGACACGTCTGCCGTAGCCTGAAGGTGTCTGTATCGCTTTTCCTAGCACTATGTAACTTCGGGTTTCGGGTAGGAACCCGAGCACAAAAAGAACTACAAAATTCAACCGCTTTACGGCATACCGTAATTCCTCAAATAAAGACCGGTATTCAAATAAACGCCGGGCCTCTGATAGTGGCCGGGGGCGTGGTCAACGCGGACAAATAAAGGCCGGTCTCAAATTAAGGCCGGGGAAAAAATAGTGTGAATAGGTACACTTTAAATGAGTGTACACTCAAAGACGGACGCGCTCAGCGCTTGTCATATATCACAACTATTCAGTGTTTTTAACCACATGTTTATTTTAGGTTTCAGACATTTAAATAGATATGATTTATAGCAAAACAATAAATGTATAGTTTGTAAAATACACAATGGTGTCTATGGAAGCAGCAATAACAATCCATTCAAATATATTTGGCGACGTGTTTTATTCATATCAGATACACAGTGTGTAAGTAACTATAAAGTTTACTCTATTCTTCTCCCAGTTCACCGGCCACTTACTTTCATGTATTTCGGGAGAAACTGAAGAATTCACGCGCTGTAACTTAACAAATACAACAGGAATCTCCGAACTGCGGTGCCCATCTCACGTTACAGATCAAGATCATTTATAAAGGGTTTTAAACGACAAAACAAACTCACTTACACGGATTTGAGAGTCAGAATAGAAGATAGTTGATGACATGGTAAGCAAGTTTGTTAATATTTAGAAATAAAAGCGCTACATCTGTCATACAGCGCTATTTTGGCTGTGGTGAACACGTGCCAAGCATGACGCGTCACCATGGAAACTTGGCTGGCGGGCGGGCGGGGATCGCGAATTAGAAATAAAGGCCTGCCTCTAATAAAAGCCTGCTTCAAATAAAAGCCGGCTACCATCTGCAGTTCAGGTAAATAAAGGCCCCGGCCTTTATTTGAGGAATTACGGTACGTCACTTCCCCCACCACCCACAACTTCCTCAGATTCTGACGTGAGTGCTCAACTCGCGTTTGATTGCCGTCTGTATGTTTTCGTCATGGCCGAACCAACAGCTACAAGGAAGAAGGCAAAGGTTTTGTCAGAGGACACTAAAAAAAAGAAAAAGGCATAGTGACAAATGAAAAGCCAGGACGAGGATCACCATTGGTCCAGCGTTCGCTCGCTGGCGTGAGCTACAGGAGGAGGAGGGGTGTCCGACCGATGCTGACGCTTGCCTGCACACAAATGCCGTTTTCAAGGTGACCCAGATAAATCATATAAGTAGTGTAGTATTTTCTGGTATTCCGGCCACAGCCGATGGTGTTATGAGTGTAATAAAATGCCCACAGCCCATTGTTCATTTCTACACACAAACACAGCCCGCCACAGTGCAGGGCTCGCACAAATAAAGTCGACTCATGTCAAATGTACATTAAATGTAGTGAACGTGCCCACAAACACTACACACATGTCCCACGGTTTCTGTAAAACGAAACCAACACACATAAGTTATAGTCAGCTCAGGCCGACGGTGTTTTTAGTGCAGTAAATGTGCCCGCCGTCCCGCGCCCACATTCACTCACAGACATGTTAGCACTAAGCCCCACGGGGCTCGCCCATAGACAGTATAAGGCTCGCTCTCTCTCAGCAGACTGCTATAAGGGAATCGAGCGCGGCAAGGCTGCCCGCCTCAAACACTACAAGCACACACAATCTAAAGACACGGGAGGCTGACCGGTTGACTGTTTGTTGACTTTTGCGACAGTGCTGCGGCGCTTGTGGCCTCTAGGGACGCTAGACGTGAAAGTTACAGGTCGAGCGCCACTAGTGGCCAAAAGTTCCGCGGTGTGCCTTTAAAGACAGTGTGTATGCAGCTAATGTAGTTTATCATCAACCTTATTACAAAGTGCAACATTAAGTTTCTGAAAGTAAAAATCTGATTGATTTTCTCAATAGGGAAATTCAGCCCACATTTTTTTTTTTTATAATCTCATTTAACAGTGGAATTCTTGGTCAGAAAAGAAAAGAAAACTTAATTAACCATGATTCTCCAAAGAAATCTCCATCAACCAGAAAATTGTTTCAAGCAAATCACACGAAAAGAGCTCTTCGTAATAAGTCTTCATAAACTCTCAAACTACAAAAAAATGTTGTGTATGTATGCATATTTTGCAATCAATTTAAATATAAATTGTTTCTATATACATAATCAACATCTTTAATTCAGTAGTTGTATCTTTTTAATTAGATTATTTATTTAACAGTCTTGTACCTTTGTCTTTTTGTCTGTTTTTCAAATACTTTTTTGCTTCAAATCAAAATTAGTAATGTTGTGATTCACCTCATAGCTGGTTGGTTTGGTTAATGGCTTATAACACTTTAACAAAGACTTTTCTAAAATCCTTTTGGGAAAAGTGAATGGGAAAAAATACTTCTGGAACCAACTCTGCTGGAAAAGTGCATATTGCTCTCTACAATGCCTTAGAGTCAAGTTAAGTTCTTTGTTGCCATGTGAGCAGAGTTAAGTAGTCAAGTTAAGTAGACTGTCACTGTGAAGAGTGAAAGAGAGGCTTACTGGCTGAGGGTCATTCACAAGTCTTGATGGCTTGTGGGTAAAACTGTTCCCTAGCCTGTATGGACTCTTTCTTGATGTTGAGTGCTCCTCTGTACACTTTGTGGCAAATGTCTTGCAATGATGGCCTTTTCACACTGTTACATCATTTTATTCCAGAATGATCTATAGATGCTCACTCAGAATCGATTAAATCCAGATACTCAGACAGACACCATGAATTGTGTGTCAGATCAGTTCTGTGATTCTCCATCCCCAGGCAAAACATGTGAAGTCACCTCCTGCCTGGGTGACTCCAGATGTGATGGAAACGCTGAAGGTGCTGAAGAACTTTGGTTTTCAGATTATGTTTGGAGTCTATAAGAGAAAGGAGAAGTGCAGACTTCAAGGAGGTGAGAGCTTATCACTGGGCAGAGCATCTTATTCTTTATTTTTTATTATTAAACTTTCATTTTAAAATAAACAAATAAAAACAATAATAAAATGAAAATTCAAGAGAGAGGCATTTATGTGCCAATCATAGGCATAAGAAGACTGTTGAGGATTCTTGGCAGACCATTTTCATAGTTACACAGTCTGACACTTTTATGCACACATATGCAAATCAGTGTTGTAGGAATAGAGGGAAAGGCCGCTACCTGAGCAGTGCAGGCAGTAATGTAAAGAAACAACGGAAATTCAGACTGGAAATGTGCAGTACTGTGATCGTGTGACACTTTGCTTACGCTCTTATTCGCAGGCCTGCTGTTAGATCAGATCATTAAGAATCTCTCAACCGCTGCAGTTCCAGACTCTAAACAAAAAGTGAAGATGGTGATATACTCAGCTGTAAGTCATGTGTCGCGTTCACATCAACATCAGCAGACCAAACTCCTAGACTTCCCTTTTTCAGTCAATAGTTTTCTATAAAAAATAAATGTTCTGTTTAGAGAAAGCAGTTCGTGTAATGTTCTCTCATGCAACTCTTTCCTCACTAGCATGACACCACAGTTGTAGCTCTGCAGGAAGCCCTGAATGTCTTTAATGGCCTGCAGCCGCCTTATGCCTCGTGTCATCTAATTGAACTTCACCAGGAAGAGAACGGGTAACATGTTGTCTGTGTTTTTCCTAAATTCAGGTTTCTAGAAGACATCTTTTGTCAACCAAAATATTCCTTTGCTTGTCTCTTTCAGGTCGTTTTCAGTGGAGATGTTTTATCGCAATGACAGCACTGTGTCCGAGCCGTACGCAGTGTCTTTACCGGGCTGTTCCCTGCGTTGCCCCCTACAGGACTTTGTGAACCTCACACTTGAAGTCATACCACAAGACTGGAATAAAGATTGTCAGATAAAGAAAGAAGCCACAGACACTGGTAAAGGCAATAATGCACATTAATATATGGACTATAGAGTAAAGATGTGTATCTATAGTTATAAAAAAAAATCTATGTTTATATTGCTTGCATACTTTGCCTGCTCTCATACATGTGTGCAGAGGTCATCATCGGGCTGGCTGTGTGTGGATGTCTGCTCTTCTTGCTGGTACTACTGCTGTTTGTAGTGCTATGCCGTCAAAAAGAGCCGATGGCTAGCTATAGTCATGTCATAAATGAGAGCGACTCCTGACAATCATATCAGCTCCTCCGCAAAGAGGAACTGTGGGACAGTGAAGAGGACCTATGAGGACACAGCAGCAACTGAAACTCTAAGCCAACTGAAAAGACTTTGTTTAACTTTGGCCACACATTTTATTTTATTGGGGAAGACTTGGTAATATTTTATTTCTTGTAACTTCAGTTGTTTCAAGAGCAAAAAGGGAACCAAGAGTTGTGATGGCGTCAATAGCATTAACGTAACAATGCTTAGCGCACAGACTGTGAGTCCAGTGTACTTGATGCATTAGCCTAAAGATTCAGGTGGGGAAATGAAAGACTACTGGATGCATATCGAGGCCTTATAATGCACTCATGGAATTTTTCACTCCTTTTTTTTTATGTGATTATCTCCTGATTTACCGCCACAAAGTAGTTTTGATGAGTACATTTAATAATAACAGCATGCTGATATGAAGAACAGTGCTCTCAGGTTAAGCTCAAAAGAGCCGAATTGAAGTAATTTGTTTTAATCTGGTGTGTTTTATTTTTATTTGTTTTTATGTTTTGTCATTTAACATAATGATCACCCGACTCTATGAATGCAAATAAAATGTTATTCTCCATTATCATAAATGTTTTCATACATATTCAGTTCCAGGTGCATCATATTTAAAACAAATTACTGTTAGATTGACAAACATTCCCAGTAAGAATAAAAAAAAAATCATTACTACTAAATGTTAATAGCAATCTGTCCAAATTGTTCTACCGTCTCAAATCTTTTAAAATCAATGTTTTGTTTGTTTTTAAAGATTGTCTTTCAATGTCTCAGTGCACATCTATTCAGCTTGACTAAAAATGTTCTGTACAGGATCCATATAGAACAAATGCTGTATTGACTAGTTGATGAAATTGTGATGCTTTGAGATGTACTTAACTGAAACGGATAACAGCTTTTTTTAATCCTTTTTATTTTCATCAAATAGACAAATAATGTTTGTCAGGACAACGGTTTTAAATGCATGTCTTACATGTAATAGGCCATTAACATCTTGTTAATAGTCAAAACGGAGAATTAAAAAAAAGAAGATATTTTTACCAATAATATGACCCAAAATTGACAACTGGTGTAAATCTGGCATAAAAACCCCCAAATATACCTCTGTTTTGAATATGGGGGTCCCCTCAATATCTATGTTATTTGAAGACTTGGGGCCTCATTTATAAAGACATGCATAGAATGGTCCTAAATGTGAACACATTTCCGAAATGTTCCTATGAATGATTTATAAAATGTCTGTATGCACAAAATGTTCATGTGAACAAGCACATCAACCCCGCCTACAAAACGTCCGCAAATATTCCTTCATAGTTATATATTAATATATAATTAATTTCAGTGACGTAATTATCACAAACTAGTTTAAATGTTGCTTATCTGTGCATACAATAATATATATGCATATTGTGATCACCTATTTATGTTCTTAATGCTGAATTAATATAATTGTATATGAGTGCAAAAAGTTCTATAAACATTTATCTTCAGTTGGTGTATGCATAAGAACATTTTCTCTTTTTACAAATCCTGATTTGTTTCACACTTAGGACATAGGATGAAATTATGGAATTTAGGATCAAATCTGATCAAGTGTGTTTTATAAACGAGGCCCCTGGTTTCTGCAGGTAGTGCGATATCATGAATGCACCAGCAGTGTGTAAATGTTCAAGACTAAAAGCATCCACAGTGCAAATGTTTTTACACATTCTCCCCAAAATGAATTAAACCATTTTGCAATGAATGTACGTTTTGACAAGTTCATATAGAATTTTTAATAGAAATGTTTGTCCACCTATAAGTAGACCTTTATCTGGACCTGTCCAGATCAGTGCATTGTTTGAGAACATAAAAAAGTCAGTCAAAACTCACAACACAAATTATGGGACTTTATTCAAAAGACACCAACCATTTTCCCTTCTTGTAGTGGGGTTCATTCTTTTGTCTATATCATACTCTAACTTCTTGGTGCAACATCAGGCTGGGTTGAGTGACCCTGGGAACATCTCAAGTGTTTTTCTGTATTATCTGGAATGGATTACAAACTCCAAATGTTCAGTCTCACCTCTGTGCACTTCCATGAAACACAGAAAATGAGACTCAGCAATCTTAAAGGCGGTTTAATGTCTCTACTAGAACACTTCACATGCTAAGCACCATTAAAAACATTAAGGATAACACTAAACACACATGCACACATAAAAAAATATTTTTGCTGCACCCCACATAGCTTGCTCTTTTTTAAATGCCGCTCTGACTTTTAACCTTTACACTCAACATTCAATTGTCAACAGTGGCACGGGTCACTGCATGAGTTTACCATCACAATCTAGGAATTAACCTTTTGATGGACAGCCATTAAGATGTACATGTTATTTGACACACAGAGAGCAAAGGAAATCGGAAGGGAAATGTTGATTGTCTGTTTTCAAGGTCAAAGTTCAGGAGCGTGTGAGGTAAGGCTCAGATCAGGCGATGGCTTTGGCCTCAGGCAGGAAGGCCTCCCAACACTTCACCAGCTGGTTTAAGATAAATAACAATTCATGAAAGACTATTCAATGATGCTGTATGTAAAACACACACACACGCACACTTACCCGATGCTGTGTGTGAAGAAGGGACTCCAGGTATTTCACTATGTGCTGTTTGAAATCTCTGGCTTTCTCTTTCTGTGACAGAAAAGAAAATATTTCATTTTCTATTTTGTGCTGTATACTAGAATTGCACAAATAATCATTATTCGGCTATGTAAAACTTTTGACAAGTACGATCACAGCGGAGCAAATCTGTGTTGGCGCTGCCGCTGAGCCAGAGAGAGCAGTTGCCATGTATAGGTATGAAACAGCTTCACAAACAGACTTTTCAACCACACAGTTCCATTATTTCTGTTACAACTGGGATTCAATTTTTTTGGGATATAAACACTGGTGTCTAAGGCTATGTTTACACGGAAACGATCTGAAGAAAAAACGCAAAAGTGGCGTTGCGTTATCACTTTTTATTCTGCGTTTAGACGAGCGTTATGGTTGGGAAATCCGCGTGCATATGGTGACGCAAAAGTGTGTGAAATTCGATGTAGTATGCACTCCAGGCGGCTAGGTGGCAATGTGAAGCACTGCCACACAACAACACCATCTCTTAGAATATTTTGTACAACTGTTGAAAAGACTCTTGTATGTTTTTGAGAGCTGCTAGGTCAAATAGGCTTTATGCACAGCTGCACTACTTCCTGAACTTCAGCCAGCTCCTTGTTTCCTGTCTGACATTATTGGACAAACTGATTAATCCAGGTGTGCCTGACCAGTAACAAATACCAGACACACCTGGGTTAATCAGTTTGTGCAATAATGTCAGACAGGAAACAAGGAGCTGGCTGAAGTTCAGGAAGTAGTGCAGCTGGGCATAAAGCCTATTGAAGGTCCGACGTATGAAAATAATCTGACATGTTGGTTGTTATTTTCCTGTACTGGCGCATGCATGTGACGTAAACGCGTACGCGACGAGAGCCACCGTGAGCAGATTTGCGTTTTTACCGTTTAGACGGGAACGCGACGGTGGAGCGTTTTTAAGATTTCCACTCTGGGGGGTGGTTTCACTTTTTTGCGTTTTTAAGCCCCCAAAACGCCGTTGCCGTGTAAACGAAAGGCACATCCGAACAAATATTTGTACGTTTTCACCCGGAATCGTTCTCGTGTAAACGGGGTAGTTATCAAAATAGACTAAATCGCCTTTTGAAAGTAACTTGATTGTCTCATTGCATCAGTAGGTAGCGACAAGTGACTGTTAAAAAACAATTATGTCATTTAATTACTCTGATTCATCCATCCTGTAATAAAACAGGTGAAGTCTTTAAGTGTGAGTGGTTGAATCATTCTTTCAACTGGAATGAAAAAAATATATAAAATAATTCAGATTCATTAAGTATTTTTAAATAGACATTTTGTCAGAACCTCTAGTAAATGACGTGTTATTTTGTTTGGTTGCCAATTCAAAACTGTGTGAGAATCGTGATCTCTATTTGAAACATTCTCAATCATGCAGCTCTACTTTACACCAGTGATCACAGCCTTTGGAACTATTGAATTTCACTTTTTTTTTTCTTTGTTTGTTTTTTTACATGGGGAGCAGAATTCTACATTACAACTGCAAAAAACACAATATCTGATTCACTGTGGTTTTTACTCTTTCTAAATCTGTCATCATTGACAAATATAGCCATCATTTTACCCCCAATTCATATTTTGGACACTAGCACATTTATGATGAAGGATCACTGGGCCAAATATGCAATTTAAAAGAATAGTTCACCCAAAATAATTTATTTTGTCATAATTTACTTACCTTCAAACCTGTATGACTTTCTTTCTTCTGCAGAACACAAATACAGGATATTTTGAAGAATACTGATAACCAAACAGTTTTGTTGACCATTAACTTGCATTGTATGGAAAAAATAATTAAAAGAAATATATATATACTGTGGGGAGAACACGTATTTGATACACTGCCGATTTTGCCGGTTTTCCCACTTACAAAGCATGTAGAAGTCTGTAATTTTTATCATAGGTACTCTTCAACTGTGAGTGACGGAATCTAAAACAAAAATCCAGAAAATCACATTGTATGATTTTTAAGTAAATCATTCGCATTTTATTGCATGACAAGTATTTGATCACCTACCAACCAGTAAGAATTCCGGCTCTCACAGACCTGTTAGTTTCTCTTTAAGAAGCCCTCCTGTTCTCCACTCATTACCTGTATTAACTGCACCTGTTTGAACCCGTTACCTGTATAAAAGACACCTGTCCACACACTCAATCAAACAGACTCCAACCTCTCCACAATGTCCAAGACCAGAGAGCTGTGTAAGGACATCAGATAAAATTGTAGACCTGCACAAGGCTGGGATGGGCTACAGGACAATAGGCAAGCAGCTTGGTGAAGAAAATGGAAGAAGTTCAAGATGACGGTCAATCTCCCTCGGTCTGGGACTCCATGCAAGATCTCACCTCGTGGGGCATCAGTGATCATGAGGAAGGTGAGGGATCAGCCCAGAACTACACGGCAGGAC